GGAAGGTTTGTGGTGACTGAGGGAAAAGAATAGCCCTGGGACAATTCCAAGCTCCTTAAATTCCTACTGTCGGCTCAAAACACATCATTCGGATCCAGATACTGCTTCAAGATAACAGCTGACACCAAGAGATGTCAACACCTGCCACCGAAGACAAGCACAAAGCAGGTTTCCAGCCCTGACATGTATCAGCTACAAAGGCTACCTGAGCTCCGGCTCCAAATGTGGAGATTGGTTGTTACTGAGAAAAAGAGACGATCCATATTGCGTCTCACTGCTTCTGGGCAGGAACTGGAAGGAAGGATGGACTCAGGCCATCCTACTAGGCTTCCCTGCAACCCTGGGACCTCAGTTCATCAGAAAACCCACCCAGCAGGGGCCAGAGCTCAAGAGAAGCAGAAACTCATTCACAAAGGCAGCAAAAAGAGGTGGAGAATTAGAAGTCCTGGGCTCTGTCCCTAGCTCTGACCCCAAATGGCTATGTAACCCCTCACAAAGCATTTTCTCCTCCTCTGAACCTCCACTTCTCCATCTGTAGAAGGAAGTCACAAACCCGCTCCAGGGTCTTTCCAGCTCTCACACTCAGCCTGTCCCTGGATCTCACAAGCTGACTTACCTCCTGCTCCCCGGAACACTCCATCCCGGGAATCTCCGTCAGACAAAGGCAGCCAAAGAAGCCCTTGAGAGGGAGTCCAAGAGAACAGTGAGAAGTGTGTACTTCTCCAGTAGGCTCACCAAAACACACTCCTGTATCTATGGGTGGTGATGTAGAGTTCGCTGTATGGTGTATATTTAATACCACATGCTTCGCTGCTCTGTACCTGGCCTCTGCATTCTGTTTCTCCCGTCAGGGGTCTAAAATGGAAATAAACCTTCTGTGAATGATCAGTAACCTTGGTTTGGGAGTGCGATTACTATGAATGAAGTGTGTTCATTTGTTTTGAACTTTGAAGAGACTGCGTTCCCTTCCAGAAACCAACATCCCCTCTGCTGCTGAACAACTTTTGGTACCTGGACATCCACCAAAAGGAGATAATGAGGGAAGAAAGTGCTTATTGATATGTTTCCTTCTTATAGGCTGCACATTTCTTTAACTGTCTGCCATATAGTCTTTGCTTTCCAAGAGTGCATATTAGCATGAAGACACAGTCATGGGCATGGAGGTCTTACATGGCCAAAATGAGTTTAGTGACATAAGAGGAATCAAAATTTAGGTATCATGGAAACTTAAAGGAAGGTGTGGTTTTACATGGAGGGTTCAGGATGGCTTTTCATGGGCTTCAAGGGATGCACAAGGAGATGAGAGGAGAGGGACAGTGGGAAACACTATTGAGCTAAGAAATCAGGCCATGATTGGAGTGGGAGCAGGGAACAGCAGGAGAGCAGGAAGAATCTTGAAAGCTATCCTCTAGACTCTGTCTTGTAAACCAGAAATTCTCTAAGTTTGGGGGTATATTAGAACCATCCTAGGTGTGCTTGTTTAAAATGCAGACTGCTTGGTCTCACTGATGGAAATATCTGGATTAGGAAGGTCTGAGGGTGGGGAGCAGGGTGGGGAAAGAGGACAGGTTAGAGGCTGAGTTTGGGAGAGACAACCTCCCAGACCTAGTGCTGCCACAGTGTAGACACATGAGGTGGAGACAGTTTAAATCCCTTTTGTACTGTGTTCAGCAGAGCTTGACCTATAGCATCTCTTGAGACAGTACCAACATAAGGGTACAAAGGCTGACACTCTGAGACCCTTATGGTGTGCGCTAGGGGTTTTGGTTTGCATCATGGTGGACCATGATATGTGGACTTTATATTGTGATATCCAGAGACACTGAGATTGCATGGAGAAGAAGTTTTGACTTGGAGCTGGGGAAGATATTTTACCCTGCTTCTCCGAGTGATTTACCACCAGCTTAGTGATGGATTAGATACAAGGGCTGAAGAAAAAGGAAGCAATCAGCATGTGGTGGGTACAGATGTCAACAGGGGTCTAGAATAAAAGGGGGAAAAGACTGGTGAAGTCTAGAGGCCAGGGTTTAACTTTGCTGAGTTTGAAGAGTTTATGAAACACAAGTAGGCAATAAGGAGTAGTGAATTTCAGAAGAGAAGGCAGGTTTAAAGACAGTGACATGAAATTCATTACCATGTAGGTGGAATATGGCCTGGGAGTATACTGGGAGTATGCAATCATCTCCCAGGAATGGACCGATGAGAAAGATGACTCAGAAGGTGAGCAAGGCAGACACTGTCACAGAAGTCACAAAGAGAAGTCCCATGAAAGAAAGAAAGAGAGACAAGGAGAGCAAGAAGAACCGGGTCCCCAAAAAGAATTAAAGCTTTTAGAAGCCAAGGGGGAAATAAATGCCAAGAAGGGGTAGTCTTAATCCCTTTTTTCATTCCTGAAGAAAATAACCAACACCTACAACTTAGAGAAAGAGAAGATTACTTGGGTTCACAGTTGGTTGGGGCTTCTGTCCATAGTTGGCTAGCTGCAAGGCAGAAGAGGCAGGGAGGAAGGGTTTGGTGAAAAAAATCTGCTTACCTCATGGCGGTCAGGAAAGAGTGAAGGGAGGACTTGGAAGGGATCCACAGCCACAGGACCCACCTCTTCCAACCAGATCCCACTTCCTGGCAGCAAGTGAGCTATAGTCCCCCATGATCCAATCACCTTCCCAAAGGTGCTCCATGAACACAAGAGGTTTAGGGGGAATATTCTAGATCTAAACCACAACCAGAGCAAAGGAATCAACAGCATGCTGCAGCTCAAGGGTCCAGGCGAAGGCCCCCAGGGAAGGCATTTTCTGGCATAGGGCCCAAGGCCTCCCTGTCATCTCAGAAGGGGCATCCAGGGAGCAGGATGCTTGCTTGTGTTTCAGGTCTTTCATAATTATCTACACCTCCTTCTTGAGTATCTTCTCCCTCCCTTTCCCCTTCCAGCCCTTTCACTCTGCCCAAAAAAGGCCTCTCAACTATATCAAAAGGCAGGAAACTGCCCTTGCATCCTTCTTTCTCTATGGCTCATAATAAATATTATCTGCTCAGTTCTTCAGGTTTTGAATCCTGAATACCTACACATCTTTCATTCTTACCACAACACATAACTCTTAAAATGTTTCTAGACCTTGTATTCCATTTTGCTCTTTCAAAAGCCAAAACCTGGCTTTCACTTAAAATGATAGATACTCCAGCTTCAATAGTTGAGAAGCCCCAAGGCAAGGAGAATTCCTAAAGATGAAGAACATATCAAGAACACTAACCTCTCATACACATAAATATCACTGCTGGAGTTTCATTTATGACCCCAGAGCCATCACTGAATGTAGCTCTATTAAATATTCTTTTTTTTTTTTTTTTTTTTTTTTGGTTTTTCTCTGGTACTGAGAATCAAACTCATGACCTTGCACTTGCCAGGCAGGCGCTGTGCCACTGAGCTAAATCCCCATCCTCTGGCTATTAAATATTCAAATAGCCACTTTCTTTCTGCTTTTGTGCAGTACACAATATTTTCTCTAAATCTAGCTCCGAAGCACAGGGGAGAGTGTGAAGACTGACTGTCCACTCTTCTTTGCAAAAGTTTGGCTGTGGGTGGGAGGAGGAGAGACTTTGGAATGAAATGGAGTAGGGTATGTGGAAGTTGATTCTTTAAATGAATGGTTTGGCCGTCTTTGGAGGTATAGCAGAGGAGATGAAAAATACAGAGGATGGGTGAGAAGCCCCAAGGCCAGGTCACTAAGCCATGGAAGTAAGGGCATTCAGAACACGTACTTAGCTCTGAAGGGAAGAATGTTTACAAGGAGAGGACGCAGCAGATAGAATGGTCAGGAAGTTCCCAGCAATGGGCCTTGAGCCTTTGCTGAGAACAGAGGTGGGATGTTAGCTTGGGCCATGAGGCTGACAGCACATAGAATGGTGCAGGAGACGCTGAGCGTGCAGCGCAGTTACCTGGGATTTAACTCAGCCGGATGATCACAGGGAACTGACCGCATCTGGGGGTTGTGATTTGAGTACACAGAAGTCACATAGTGAAGAGTCAGTGGTGCTGACCACAGTAGGACAAGCCCAGAGTGGAGAGTCAGGAGACCCAGACTTATAGTCTTGCCACTAATTGACAGAGTAACTTTTGGCAAGTCCACTTCTTACTCTAGGCCTGAGTTTCTTTCTCCATACAAGAATAGACTGACCAGTCTCTGAGGGCTATGCACCTCTGTGTGCGTGTGTGCATGTGTGTGTGCATGTGTATGTGCATGTGTGTGTGTGTGTGCATGCTCGCATGTGTGTATGTCCAGGTAAACGGAAAAAAGTAGAGCTAGTTTACTGTTTTGTGGGTTCGAAGAGGCTCCTGCCAGTAGCATAAAAGCCTTCTTTATTAGTCCAGACACTTCCACTGCTAAGTGACATAAGCCCAAGATAAATAGCAAAAAGGGAAAGAGAAAGACAGACAGTGTGCATAGGTCCACAGAAATTGAAGAGCCAAGGCTTCCGGGATGATTAGACCAAAAGCCTGAAATATCAGACACAACCTCTTTTGTTTCCCCTCTTATCCGTCAGTTCCACTTTCCTCTGGATCAGTAGCATTATTCTCAGCAGACACTCCATGAAGTGATCACTACTAGATCTGGGCTCAAGATCAACCAGTTAGCAACCCCAGGAGGGAATGACTTTCTCTTTCTCTAATACGTTTAACATAATTTGCAAGCCAGCCTTTCATTGACCTGGCCAAGTTTACATCCCATCTCTGAGCAGTGGCTGTGACCAGGAAGTCCAAGGCTTTGATAAATCACTTCCTTATCCCTGAAACCGTAGATGATGTCAGTTCATTTCAGGCTACTTACACCAGCAATGGGAAAAGCAGGAGTCCCCAAGAAAAATCCGCATGTGATTATCAGAAGAGGCAACAGATGCTGGGAGACCAAAAGTAACAGATGCTCCTGACAGAGTGATGAGCTAGTAACCCTGGCAATGGGCACCATGGAGCCCCGAGTGATCTATGCTTCCTCCCTTGGCTGCAGTGTGTGGTTCCCCTAAGATTCACCGGAAGCAGATGGCCAGAATCTTCAATGGACACCCCGCTGAGAAGGGCACCACTCCCTGGATTGCCATGCTGTCACACCCAACTGACGTGCCCTTCTGTGGAGGCACCCTTCTAGGTGAGGACAAGGTGGAGGGGTGAAAGATTCAGGCTTGGGACAAGGTGGAAGGTAAGAGACATGATTTTTGGGAGACTGACAAGGTTTCTTTGCCTAGAATCACTGTTCACAACAGCATCAGAGCCCAGAAGTGTGATGTGGAAGAAACAGCCCTTAGCTGGAATCAGGAGCTGTGAATTTCTGTCGATTCCTTCAGGCACCAAACACTTCCTGAAGGACTGAGTCAGAATTAGAATGTCCCACATAAATCACAGTACAAGGCAGGTAGCTAGGGTTATGGGAGAACCAAGAAACCCTGGGAATGAGCTGGGGATATAGTTCAGTGGCATAAGCGCCTACCTGGCAAGGGCAAGGTCATGAGTTCGATCCCTGGTACCACACCAAAAAAAAAAAGAAACCTTGGGAAGTCAAGGGAAGCATAGTTAGCAAAATAGACTTTTAAAAATTCTTAGGAACTTAGACCTTACCCTGGGCACTGCTGCAGACTTAGATACATGTTCTAGAAATTTCCCTCCAGGTACAGCATGACCCAAAAGAAGGGAATCAGAAAGCCAGCAGTCCAATGGTGGGAGAGTCATTAGTGTCAAAATAAAAGCAATACTGAAGGGATAGAAATAAGGGGGAAGTTCCAAAAGTCTGGAAAATAAGACTGTCAGTTTGGCTGCAGACTACGTACAGGTGGGAGTGGGGGCAAAGATAGGAAAAGCATAGCCGGTGCTCTCTCTGCTTTAGTTTAGTCCTGACCCACGTGATCTAAGGTTTATTCAAGCTCTGTGAGGAAACAGGAATCAGGAGTCTCAGGCTAGTTTTCATCTGAACCCCTTAAGAGGAGAAAGTCCTAGATCTTTCCATCTCTATGTGAGCAGCTCCCAGCTGCTGGTCATGCCCCTCCCTCCGCCTTGTCCTCCTCCACACTGCAGTCAGGGTGGGCAGCTCCAGGCCAGGGATCCATCCAGAAAGGCACAGGGATAAGGCTGCAGCGGAGGTGCCAGTGACAGTTAAAATGGCCAATGGGCTACATGATCTCTACATTCGCGTAAGAGCCACAGTGAACGGTCTCGGGTCCTGAAGCCCTGTAAGATTCAGGGGTGAGAGGAAAGGTGTTGCAGAAGGAGGGTATGGCCAGGCAGGGCTCACGGCAGCCTAGAAGGAGGAGGGCTGGGGAGAGGAACAAGAAAGAGCAGAGAAAAGAGGTAAGCAGAGGGGAATGGACAGCAAGAATGAGGACAAAAAGAGACAGCAAACCGTGAGCGAGACCTAGGAAATCAGAGGAAGGAACTCAAAGAGAGAATAAGAGAAAAACCAGAGACAACAGGACAGGGCAGGCAGAACACAAGAAACCCCAGGAGGAGGGGAAATCAGAAAAGAAGGAAAAGAGGGAGGAAGCCTATGTAGAGAGACTGCAAAGAGTCAGAGGGATGGCGAGGAAGAGCGGAGGGAGGGAGGGGGCTGCTTCTGCAGCCATTCCCAGTTTGCTTGGGAGCTGAGTAGAAGCAATGGATCATGAGGCCATTGATTGCACTTACATTCATTTTCTTAAAGCATCGGCGTTTTAGTGCATGCTTGTTCCCTGTGACGTATGTCTGACCGTCCTTCGAAGGTTTCTTCTCTGTCCCCAGCTGAGCTTTACCCTCCCACAGCTCTTGTTCTATGAGTTCTTTCTTCCCTTGGAGGGAGCGGGGAGGGAGAGGTGAAGGGTGAAGAACCTAGAAAGAACGTGAGCGGTCAAGACAGTGGCAAAGCGCCAGCTCAGTGCCTGCGCTGAGGCTGGCTGGTGGGAGTGGCAGAGCTGGGAGGCACAGCTCCTCTCTGGATTGGCCGGAGCACTCCCCTGGTTCATGTAAGTGGCCCCGCTCCCTGCTTTGAAGCAGACACTCCCAAGCTGCACACCTGGGACATTCACCCACCAGCCTTGGACTGTGGAGAGCTCTATGCAGAACTGGGAGCCTGAGCACACTACTGCCTCTAAGTGCAGCCTGGAACCTGCTCCAGAAAAGCCTTTGACTGTCTGCCTTTGACTCTGAACTATAACCTAGATCCTCTGACTCTCCCTCCAAGCCCTACAGCCTTTCTGTTTGGCTGGTCCTGGGTATGCCACAGGGTTCAGCTACTTACAGCTGCTCCACTTAAAGGATGGCCAGAAGCCCGTCCCTGTGTTAAACAAAGGGCCGAAACATACCTATCCAGGGCAAAAGACAGCTGGGACACAAGAAGCACAGTAGGCCGAATGCCAGGAGATGGGCGCCACCTCTTGTGACCACTGTCACCTCCTGTGATTGCTGCCACGCTGCTTTCCCGTGGGCCTCTGGGTCCGTGTCTGTAAAAGAGAGCTCTGAACCTGAATCGTGTTTCTCAACCCTGGCAGCCCCAGAATCACCGGAGGGAACTTTTAATGCATGTCTGTGCCTGCACCCTGCCCACATAACTTAAATACTACTGACTAGGGGCTGGGGATTTAGCTCAGTGGCAAAAGCGCCTGCCTGGCATGCGCAAGGTCGTGAGTTCGGTTCCTGGTACCAGAGGAAAAAAAATACTACTGACTGTTTTCTGGTTCCCCAGGTCATTGCAGTGTTCAGCCATGCAGCTAGCTACCGATGATTCTACTCGGTACTTGCCCAACTTTAATGTGCATGGGTTTATCTGGGGGTCTTGCTAAGGTGCAAGCTGTGATGTGTAGATCTGAGGTAGGACTGAGTGTCTGCATTTCTGCGGGGTCCACGGGTGACGCTTACCCTGCAAGCCTGGGGGCTACAATTTGAGAAAGAAGGCCAGGAGGCACCCGGTGAGCACAGGGTCTTCAGTAACCCACCTTGGGCTGTCTCACACTATGGGCTGAAGGAAGCCCTGAAACCCCGTTTAAAGTGTTCGGCCCTGGCCTGCGTGGAAACGGGCAGTTGAAAGCACTCCTCGTGTTCGGATTAGTATCGTATCAGGGTCTGACATGGGCCAGTGAAATGCAATGGGGGAGACATAGGCATTTTCAAGACCTTAAGAGGAGCCTTGGAGTGGTCTGAAGGTCCTCAGCTTGAGACGGAAGAGGCAGGACCTGTCACACACACATACGTTCTGTCCTCCAGGCCTCGACTGGCTCGTGACTGCTGCTCACTGCCTCCACCAGCCAGTGGACTCCGAGGACCCAAGACTGAAGACCCTCCACCTCCTCCGCCCTTCTGACTTCAAAATCATCCTGGGTGAGTGAGGGGCAAGCTGACTCCTGCAGCCATCTGTGGTTCTGGGAAGGAAGTTCCACAGCTGCCATTTTCCAAGGCTCCCCTGTACAAATTCAAGACCGCCACCTGATTCTGCTCAGTTCAACCCCTGTTTACCTACCACCACTCAGCCAGGATCTAGGGACACAGTATGATCAAGAGCAAGTTCTTGCCCACCAGGAGCTTACAGTCTAATAAAGGAACAAGATACAAGTGCAGAGCCCGCTGTTACAAGGTAGGAAGCAGAAAGTTCTCTAGGAGAGGGACAGATAAAGTGTCACGGGAAATCACAGGGGAGAGACTGCTAAGTGGGGTAGCCAGGAGGTGTCGTGGAGGAAGAGACACAGAACCCAGGCACTGAAGGGGGCTTGCAAGGCTTTGGCTGTGGCAACAGAACACAGGAAGAAGTATTCTAAGACAGTGGACAGCTCATGAAGAAAGACGGAAGGGGAAACCTGTGAGGATACACGGGGCGTTGCAGACAGGGTGGGGTAGCTGGATGAAGGGCAGTGAAAGAGTTGAGGGCAGAAGCAGGAGCTGGATGGGACCAGGAACAGACAGGAAGTAAGGTACGGACTTATTCTCCTTTTCCCTCATGCCTCACTTGCCTTCTCCCCACCCAGGCAAGCACTGGAGGCGCCGGTCAGACGCAGACGAACAGCACCTCCCTGTCAAACAGATCATCCTCCATCCCCTGTATAACCCCAGGACATTTGAGAATGATGTGGCTCTACTGGAGCTGTCAGAGAGCCCAACGCTGAATAACTTCGTGATGCCCATCTGTCTGCCCGAGGAGCCCTCACAGGAAGGTACCCTCCCCAACTTCTGATGCCACCGCTGTGGAACAGCAGGGCCTTAGCAGGGCATCCTCCATCCCCGGAGAGGCCCTGGTGCTCAGTGAGTCAGCTGATGGGGTCTTCGTGATTCCCTGTCTGCCTCCGCTAAAACAGCTGAGTCACAGCTGGTCCTGAGTTCCACGAGCAGTGCTGGCACGTAGCAAGCAGACAGGACAGAGGGTCCAGGTGGGAAAACAAACGCAGACTGGTGACTGTAAGAGAGAGTTCAGTGTAAGGTACAGGTGAGCTGAATAAGCATAAGGGGAGTGCTGAGATGACAGAGATACCTGCAGTAAGAAACCACCATCTCCAGGCACAGGGGAATGAAAGTAAGGGACTGTACTTACAGAACCTACAGGCTTGAAAAAGCGACCCCTTAAAGCCACAGCTCGGACTTCGGCAGAAATGGCTAACGTGCTAAGGAATCTGGCTAGGACAAACTGCCACTACGGTGGTGAAAAACTACTGCCAGGTTGAAAGTAATCCTACCATCAGGAAGAGAGTGAGCCAAGAGCTTCCATACCAGGTCTCATCCCTAGCACCGCAGAGCAGAATATAGGAGAGTAAGTCTGCCACTGAGGCACCATAGCTTACGAACCAGCACAGGTTCGAATCCCACTGCAGGCATCTCCTACTTGAGTGATCTTGAGGTTGTTACTTGACCTCACTAAGTTTCACTGCCCTGACTTCTAAATTGGAGGCAATAGTCCTTGAGGTGGTTTCGATATTCGAATTAGAAAATAAAAACGACACCTTTCCAACATTGAGTAAGAGTCCAGTCCATTCAGTGGGCTTCCTTGTCATTCTAAACTCAGGGTTGCCATACTGTAATTCACTTCCTTTAACTCAGAGATGTAAAGAAAATTGCTTGGATGGATCTGAGAGGTATTTAATGAAATTGAACCATCAAGAAATGTGGAGGTATTGCTAATTCAATGACCAGTGAATTGAATTTCGTGTGCTTGCTATGTGCCAGTTGCTTTACATTCATTAACTTGTCTACTACTCATGAAAGCCCTGCTAGGTGATATTGCTGCTCCATTTTACAGATGAGAACAGTGAGGTCTAGCACAGTGAAGGAAGTCACCACAGGTACTTTAAGTCCAGTGCTATATTAAGTATACAGGCTCCTTCTCCAATAAGAATGGAATTGCTCTAGCAGCATCCAACCAATTTCCATTGCCCCCAGATTTACCAGTTTCACAGGCTCCTAGAATGTGAGAGCTGGAAGAGGTGTGGGAGAATACCGAGTCCAGAATACATCCTCTTTTTCTGAGTAGAATTACTGACATTGAGAAGGGGTGGAAGGAAGTCTTGCTAATAGATAGCACAGTACATTGTTGAGTAGCCTGAGCTTTTTATTTATTCACAATTATTAACTGAACACCTACACACCAGCACTGTAATAGGAATGGAGATGCAGCAGTGAACTACATAGATGGATTATTGCTTTCACACAATCTAAACTCTGTGTTCATTGGGGGTGGGAGAGAGTAGACAAACAAATCCAGTGATATAACATGGAAACATGCACCCTGCTCTGGGGCAGGCACCTCCAAACCAGCAGCCTTTCCCATCTTCCTCCCCATCTTTCTGTCTTTCTCTGGGGTAGCATACGAAGCCCTTCCTCCTCAGGAAGAGGAGAACGAACCTCCGCACACCCCACAGACTGTCTCTCTGTTCTCAAGGTGTCTTCTCTCCTCCAGGAGCCATGGTCATCGTCAGCGGCTGGGGGAAGCAGTTCTTGCAAAGGTTCCCAGAAACTCTCATGGAGGTGACGTTGCATGGTCAGGGATGTGGAGGCTTGGACAAGGGTAATGGGAGAGATGCCAGGGCCCCAGACCCACTTCCAAAGCTCGGTGGAACTTTGCACCCCAGGGAGCTCGATTTGTTTGTTCTCCAGGTCATGGTTGCTAAACAGTGTTCAGTGTCTGTGCAGATTGCCCAACCCCTGGCTCATGGAAATTCTCCCAACACAGCAGGTTTGGACTCCCTGGAGCCTCGTGATTCATCTCTACACTATGAGAATTACATACCACATTAGACAAGAATGGGCTGGTTCTCCAGAACCACAGGCCTTGCACAAAGAAACCTGACTACTGCGTGTCAAAGTTTACTTTCCTGTCATTTAAGGAAAGAACACTGAATTAAGCATAGCCAGCCATGTTTTCAAGTCCTGGTTTCAACTTCTTTGCTGAGTTTATCTGAAATAAGTCCTCTGTAGGCCACCCTGGAGAATTTCAAACTGCAAAGTGAGAGGCAATTCTGGATGTCCTCTAAGAACCATTTTGCTCTGACATCGCCAGGTTCCGTGGTGTAGGCAGTTTCTAAATCCTTCAGCACACATGATTTTACTGTGCTATAAAATTCTGGATTTCCAACAATCATTCATTCTTCCTCCATGAGTGTCCAAATGTGTCTCTCCTGTCTCCTGTATACTATTTGGAGTTCAGAGGCTTAAAACGACAGATCTGGTTCCTGACCTCCTTGGGCTTAGACAGTAGCTATGGATGGAATGAAGGTGATGAAGGAGAAGGGAAGGATTCTCTGCAATATGCAGCTGGGGATCTGATCTCACCTCGAGGGTCCAGGATGACTTCTCTGAAAACGTAACACTTAAGTGACACCAGTCAGTTCTTGTTCCGCTGAATGTAAGTGGTCTGTTCCCTTTTATCCCAAACATTTACTCCAAAATTCACCTTCCTGTCCGGTTAAGAACAATAATAATCATACTCCCTTACTTTTACGTAGCAAGTTATCACCTCACATATATTTCCTGAGTACCTACTCTTTTCCAAGTTATGTAAGGCAGAGTGAGCAAGCTACTGGCTCAGGGTCTAGAAGTCCATCTGCTCTCTGAGGGAGAGCAGCTCAAGCAAATGCTTGCTGCAAATAAGCAGTGATGACCCCTAAAGAACCTGTAGTGTCTGTGATTTACAAAATACTCGTGCATGCATTTCCTCTTTGTAAAACTCCATACAATTAGTGTACTAGGTGTTAGGACTTCCATGACTCAGTGAGGAAACAGAATCTGAGAAATCTGAGAAGCAGTGATTAAACAGCATACTGTGGATCCTAGAACTTGCAGTCCCGCAGTAGGGGTACGGGATAGAAAACTGACCCTGGCTTTTATACGCACTGTCATACTAAAAAAGGCGCATGTGGTAGGCAAGTATTGTGATCCTCATTTTGCCGATGACAGACAGAGTCCCAGAGTTACCTGTCCCTTGCGAGGTACTTGTGCAAGGTTGTACACCAAGTTCATAACAGAAACTGTAACAGACACGGCTCTCGTAGTTCTCCATTCTACTGTTCCTTCACCTGTAGCACAGGGCAGCTTCTGAGCCCAAGTCTAAGGTAGATCCAGGCCAGCTCCGGGACTCGGAAGAGCAGCGCTCCTCAGCCAGGGGCTGGGGACCGATGAGAGTGTTGTGTTCCAGATCGAAATCCCGCTTGTTGATCACCGCACCTGCAAGGAGGCCTATGCACCACTGAAGAGGAAGGTGACGGCGGACATGATCTGTGCTGGGGAGAAGGAAGGTGAGTCAAGAAGCTGACTCAGAATTTGAGGTCTGGGAGGAGTCTGGGGATAGCAGGAGAGGACTGGAGATTTCTCGTCACGGCAGGCAGCTGGGGAGGGTGGTCAGACTGCGGGGGACAGAGTCCTTTGGAGAAGAGGCATCAGAGAGACGGGGGCTGAGAATTTCCACCAATCCTCTGCTAAACCAGCACTTTCTGAAATCTGCGCTCTGGAGACGCCAGAGCTCGCAAACTCAGAGCCCAGGTCTGGGTCACACGGTCTGTCGTGCCCTCTAGTGTCTAATCTCTGAACTACAAGTCAGACATGGAGAAGGAGACTCCTTGGGGCTTGGGCTGGGGAAGGGAGAGCTTTCATCTCATCTCCGTTTCATCTAGGGGGAAAGGACGCCTGTGCGGGTGACTCTGGAGGCCCCATGGTGACCCTGGACAGAGAGAGAGGCCAGTGGTACCTGGTGGGCACTGTGTCCTGGGGCGAGGGCTGTGGGCAGAAGGACCGCTATGGAGTGTATTCCTCCATCTACCACAACAAGGGCTGGATCCAGAGTGTCACCGGGGTGAAGAACTGAGCAAGCCCCTCCGCCCAGCGCCACCTGCTGGTCAGGCGGTGGCAGAGAACGGTCATCGGGTGAAGCCGCCATTTCTGCCGTCCCCCACCTCACACCCCACCGTCCAGCGCACCTACTACTGAGCATTTCTGCAACCTTTTCTCTCTGGAAGGAGGCAGAGTACCGGAGTGGTCAGAACCTCAGGCCAAATCCAGGCTGTATTCCCTAGGGTCTTTGTGATGCTGGGGAGCTGACTTCACTTCTGGAACCATTTCTTTGTCCCTGAGAGGCAAATGGCACACCTGACCTACCTCTTAACAGTCTGGTGAGGATGAAATGAAGGAGTACACACATAGCACATAAGCCTGTGCATGGCCGAAGCTATGTGCTCAGTAAGGGTGACGCAGCAGATGACGAAGTCCTCTGATAAACTCCCAGGGATGATTTGTCTCACCGTGACCATCTCCGTTATGTGCCCCCTAATGTTCTAGGGTATTTTCCACATTTAACTCTCCCAACCCCAATCCTAGTCTTACCTCCATGAAAAGGTGAGACACATAAGGCTCTTAGTCCTGTAACATGGCCCACAGCAATATAATTATGCACTTTAAGTAGGTACCAAATTGTAAGGGTGACTGGAGACAGAGACAGTGGATTGGGAATCCTACCTGATGCTAGAACCAGCTCTGTCCCCAGCCTTCCATGGGGTCCCAGGAAAGTTCTTTCTTCTCATCCTGAAGGGCCCTCCCAGCTCTTACAATCCCAGATCCAATGAAGCTATATTTTCCCTGACATGAATTAAAACTAAAGTAACCCTAAGGCTAATATTTTATTAGGTTCAAAAATGTTTTGATGCAAACAAAATGCAGCTTCTTCTCCTGCAGTATAACCCCCACCCCATCCACCCCAACCTGGTCCCAAAGGACCCAGTGCAGGCAACGTGCAGCCTATGGGTCTTTCCCTATTCTGGAGCAGAATATCTTTCCTGAGTCCTAGCACAAGCAGAGTGCCTCTCCCACCCAAGAACAGTTCCTTTCTCAGGGAAAGTCTAGTGACCTCTTCCCCTCCGAAGTTCTAGAAGATTTCAAGAGATTAGAAGTCCCAAGTCCTTGCCTTCTTTGCTATCAGAATTTCTTTTCTGGCGGGACTTTAGCTTCTGCCCAGCAATGAAGTTTCTAGGTTGTTCTGAGTGTATTATTGAAAGGGAAAGGTGATAGGAAATCAGAGTCTGTAGGCATTAGACTCTCTACCAAACACTTGGAGACAGCAATTGGTAGCCGGGCCTAATCCCAGGAGAAAGTCTACCTCTGTGTGTCCCGCTCTTTAGTTCCTACAGGGGAGATGACAAAGAGGCCCAACTTCATCAAATATTTATTAAGCAAGCTGGTGCTGTGTTTTAAACACCAAAGAAGAACTGTGATGCAGAGTTTTGAGATTACTCACAAGGCATTCCAAGATGCTGTATCTTCCCATCGTGCACTACCTGGCTTTACTCCCAGTTCTAGGTTATGCCGAGCGCTGCTACTGGGGCTGCTATGATGAGGAGAGTGTGATTCATGCCTCCCAGGAGCTCCTAGAAGGAGCTGTGAAAAGTACCTAAGTGATTATAGCGCATGGGGAAGGACCCTGCGAAGTGCTCTGTTTTGAAGAGGCGCGGAGGTAGAAGCAAGGCCATTCTGGTATTATATGGAGGTGTTGGGGGAAGACAATACCGGAAAGGTTTCCTGGAAGAGATATCCTTGTTCAGGGTGGGCATTTCCACAGATGAGACAGAAGCAGGCCTTCCAGATGGAGACAAAGCAAGAGTAATTGTCAATTTAAGCTTCCCTGAGTTATATCAGCTCTTCCAATGAAATGACATATCCAGGGGACAGGTGTTCTGGGATTAGAACAAACATCTAAAAGAGCCATTCTCCTTCAACTCTAGAATATTAGTCTCTAAGAATCTAGAATACCAAATGGGACTGGAAGCAGCCTCAGGATTTCTATGCAGATGCTGACTTCTGGCTGGATCCAGTTTGTCCTACTTTTCCCCACTTGCAGTTTCATCCATAGTCTGAGAAAGTAAGTGACTGAACAGGCCAGGCACCCTCGCTTGCCCTTGATCTCCAAGCATTTGTTAGATGGGCGGTTCCTGCTCTGCCCAAGTCTCTCAGAGCTGCACAAGCAGAGGTGTCTCTTGGATTCCTTGTCTATTCCCATGGCCTCCTTGTCATCTGGTGGTGACAAGCTCGCTACCTCCCAATGCAGCCCATTCCAACTTTAAAATGTGCTACTCTTACTCAGAGTTCACTTCTATGCAATCAAAATTTACCTCCTTAGAGTATAGTTTGTATAGCTAAAGCTATTTCATACTGTGAATGCTGTTATTAGCAATAATGATCGTGCCTGGATTTCATTAGCCACAGAAGCTGCTCTTCTTATGGGAAATTACACATTTCTTCTAATAAACATCTGCATTGAGTCAAAGATCCTTGTTTGGCTTATATGTTTTTTCATGCAACGATGGTTCTGATGAGTTGTTTTCATGTTTCCAAGTTCTGCTCTATTTGATTAGGATCACTGTACCATGAAAGAAACAGAGATTATGATGGGATGTTTATGTTATGGATACAAAAGCCTGGCTTAGGTTTTTGGGGTCCATTCTGTTTAAAGACTCTGTACTATTATGCTCTTAAATCATCCAAATAATCTGTAATATCAGTGTTTCCAGCACTCAAATTGGATTTCTTGAATGCCACCCACACTGAGAATAAAAAAGATTTCCAGACCATGCATGTAGTCAATGTTTGGCTGAAAAAATGCAGCACAGGCCTGACCTGGGGAGGCCTACAGATGCTCCTTGTGTCATGAATTGATCTTGTTCTCGGTGTTGGGGTACATGACTCAAAGACTCAGCAACACTAAGAAGCCCTTCAAGCAAAAGGCAGCGAGAATCAGGGCGTGGAAATGTAAACCACTCATGCGCAGAAGTGTCACCAATCTTGTCTAGAATGAGTCCTCAAAGGAACAGACTCTGGTTCCAGTGTAACATAGATTGATTCCCTTCTCCTCTTGATTTTACCATCTCTACCAAGGCAGAATAATCTTTGCCCCCTTCTGTCTGAGACTGTTGAGTCAGATGAATTAACAAGTAGGGAAAATTTTAGGGAAATTATAAACTTTGCCCAAATTTAAAAAGGTTCTGTAGAAAATAATCACAATTTTGAGCATTAACTATCGGGTTGAGACAGCTCTTACCCACATTTTTTGACTTACGCCTGACAATGACCTGTGATGAAAGTACTATTATTAGCCCCACTTTGCTGAAATAGAGTAAAATAAAAATGTGTCCCAACTAGATGCAGCAATGCATATACAGTGCCCAGATTTTGGTTCCTAATATCATTCTCCAATAACAGTACCAAGAGCTCCTTCAAATCATGTTTGATTCTAGCGCTACAGCAAGAAGAACACAAGATGAGACTGGAGCATCTTACAGTGCCAGAAAGTAAAGAAGTCATCAAAGAACTTCGCAGTGGTGGGGGTAAAGGAAAAGGAGGCAAGACCCAACTAAGAGAGGTCGAATGGCCAAAGCTGGAAACATTTGAGCAACAAAACAAAGAGCGTTAAATAATAACCCAAATTGTAAAATAAATACTCATTAGTACATACTGATGTAAATAAATTCTTGAACAAATGCATACATTGTGAGGATAGACAAGTCTCCCATGGGAAAGAATGCCAAGTAATTTATGTGACTACTCTGGCTTCAAGGAGATGGCACATAACTCCCCGATCCCTGTGGTGTTGACAGCGTATAGTAACTTCTTTCCAAAGAGTATAGTATGGAAAGGAGGAAAACAGTAATCCTACGGTGAAGAAACCTGACAAACATTACTTCAGCCAAGTGGCCAAGGAGAATACGAACAGTGATAACAGACATTGATATTATGTAACCTTGATATGCTGCACCAAAAATGGCTCTGCACCCCTATGGTGCTCCTCCCCCAATCCTATACTCCCAGTCTAATCATGAGAAATACACCAGACAAATTGAATTTGAGAAATACTCCACAAGCCACCTGACCAACGCTTCTGAAAAATAAGGATAGTAGAAGAAGTTGTCATCGGCAAAAGGAGCCTATATTGGGTTACACTGTGCTCCCCTCAAAAAATATGCTGAATTCCTAATCCCAAGGGCATCTGACTGAGAATTTATTTGGAAATACAACCAACCTATGCAGATGTCATGATAGAGCAGGGTGGGCCTTTAACCCAATAGGAATGGTGTCCTTGTAAGAACAGAAAAGACACAGAGACAGAGACACGTGGAGAGAACACCGTGTGACACAGGCAGAGAGAGTGCTCCAAGGAACACCGAGGGTCCTCAGCAAACCACTAGAGGCTAGGGACAGCAAGAAAGGATTGCCCTGGAGGTTTCAGGAGGAACTGCTTGAATCCAGACTTCTAGCCTTCACAGCTGTACAATATTAAATCTCTGCTGTTTTAAGCCACCCAACTTAGGGGCCTTGGTTACAGCATCCCTAGGACATTAATACTGAAGACAGAACAACCAAATCTAGTGTGACATCCTGCGTAGGATCCCAGAACAACAACAACAACAACAATTAGGTAGGAACTAAGGAAATTGGAATAAAATATGGACTTTAGTGAGTATAATATATCAGTATTGGTTCATTAATTGTGACTAATGTACCATACTAATGTAAGACATTAATAAGCAAACCTGATGCAGTATGCATTGGAAATTTCTATACAATTTTCACTGCTTTTTGTAAAGCTAAAACTATTCTAAATATAAAAGTGTCTCTTGAAAAAATATGACCCAAGATCTCTCAGCTAGGAGATTGGGGAACCAGGATTTGAAATCTGCTTCTGATGAGCTCTGGAGCCCAGTCCCTGAACTTCAGCACCAGTGTTTTTCAATCAAGGGCTGCACTCTGATGCCCGGGTCCCTCCCTTCAGAGATTCAAATACAAGCAGCCTGGTGTACGGCCCAAGCATGAGGGTTTTCAGAAGACGCCCTCGGTGATTCTAATGGGCATCTAGCTTGAGAGCCACTATTCTAAGCTGTCCTGCCAGTGCATAACCCTGGAAGACTGATAGGAGCTTCTATTCCCCACCCTGGAGTCTTTGACTGAGGTGAGTCAGCTGGTCAGAGACAGAATAAGTGGCCAGGTTTTGCAGCCCAGGATCCGGAATTTTCTGTGACTCTCAGTAAGAATAGCATTGCTAAGAGATTTCTGCATTAGTGTTTTCCTGAAAAGAACAATGTTCTTATTTTGCAAAAGTAAACTAAAGGAGGAGAACGTTCCAGCAACTGAGGAACAGTGTATGAGAAAAGGGGATATGAAGCAACCCTGGCTGGGAGTGGGGGCTGAGCAACAGTGTCCCCTGAGACACAGATATGTTGGATGAAAGGACACCACACCACTGGGGGTAATCTGTAAGTGAAAAGTCATGAAAGCTCTTATACTCAGCTCAGTTTGGGGAGTAGGAAGATAATTGAGGTTTTTAGGGTTTGTTTGTTTTTTTTTTAACCAAGAAAGGATGGTATCACCTTTTGCTTTTAACTAAGGTAATAACGCAGAGAGTAAACTCAAGGAGATTCAGATGGCTGAAGGACATCAGGTAGGAAACCTAACAGTCCTCACCAAGGCAGTCATGTGGAGAGGAAAAGAACTGCTTCTTGGGGCTCTGAGAACATAGGGCTGAGTATAAAGAAGCCACCAGATTCCCGCCCTATGTGAACACTTCAGAGAGGATTCACAGAGGAGAGGAAATGGAAGGTAACAAAACCCAAAGGATAACTTCTTTGGGTCCCTGATGTTTCTGTGCTCTGCTGGCGTCAGTTCTTCGCTCTAGAAAGGAAGCATAGAGTACTGTGAACTTGAAAGAAGGAAGCACACAGGCCCTTTGCAATGCTTTCTTGCATCTGGTACACATTGGCCTTTTCTTTTTCCAAACAGATCAAGAAAATGTAATTTGGATGCAAAAAACACAAGCCCAATTCCCAGCAGTGCGCTTCTGATCACAGGGAAAAAGAGCCAGGGCCATTTCAACATTTAGGCAGATCGTAAAGCCTCTAAGGGAGGCCCCCCAGAGACATAAGTATTAGGAAAAAACAGCATCATGACCAAAGGAAGGTGTGTCAAGCCAGGGCATTGCCTAGAGCAGGCATGCTGAATGACACATGGATCGGTATGGGCGGGGACATGTCTCCCCCACCAACAGCTGCTAGACCCAGTAGAGACCACTGCAAAGTAAGAGGTTGCTATACTTTGAATATTGGTAGTGTCTCCTAAAAGTCCGTAGGCCAAGGGCTTGGTCCCCAGGGTAGCACTCCCAGGAGGTAATGGAAACTGTGGAAGGTTGGGCCTCTGGGAGCTCGTTAGGTAATTGAGGGCCTGCCCTTAAAAGGGATTGCAGGGTCTCATCCCTCCTTTCCACCTCTCTCCGTTTCACAGCTCAAGATGTGAGAGCTCAGTGTGACACATGCTCCCCACCTTTGCCATCCCCCACCCTCACCAGACCTGGGCCAGGTCAGGTACCATGCCCTGGAACCTCCAGGACTGAAAGCTGAAATAAACCTCTATTTACTCACGTTGCTGAGAAAAAAATATCTGACACTCATAACTTAAAGGAAGATGGGTTTATTTTGGCTCACTCTTTGAGAGATTTCAGTCTGTGATTGGCTGGCTCCAAGACAGGGACAATCATGGCATAAGGGGATGGTGGAGCAAAGCTGATAATTTCGTGGTGGCCAGGAAGCCAAGCACAGCAGAATAGTGCCAGAGAGAAAGGAGTAGGGGGTCAACTATATTCATAGGCACAAGGTCACACCTCCATGACCTGGACACACCCAGAAGTGTGCTTTACTAACCTCCCCAATGGTTCCCAAACCAATCAAGTTAACAAACTTATCACACTCCACCCCTTGCCCATGTAACTCCGAACACCTCTTTAAATCATACTTAATCTCCAAACAAATATAACGTTACTAATTCTACCTAATATAACACAATTATACTGCATGCAATCAAAAATGCAAGAATCCCTTCCCGAAACTCTCAACAGTTCCAGCATTGCTCAAAAGTCTAAGTGAAGATTTCTTCAAATACTCAAGACAAACTCTTATCTGTGAATCTCTGTAAAATTGAAAAAGCAAGTTACTTATTCCCCAATCATACTGGCACAGGGAAAACATTACCATTCCAAAAAGGAATAATAGGAGGGTAGAAGAGAGCCAGAAGAAAGCCAGGCTAGAACTCAGCATGACAAACATTCAGTCCTATATCTCCAAGTCCAGCATGTAGGGCAGATGGTGGTGATAAGTGAATTTCAAAGGGCTCAGGTGGCCCCACACTATAGTATTGCTGGTTGCAGCCCCCACAGCCTAGGGTTGGTTTTGTTCATGATCCGCAGTTTTCCTTGGCAGGCATTCCTTGTGGATGGCAACTCCAGCTTCCTGGGTTCTCCACTGCACTTTGGCTTCATCCTTACAGCTTCACATATTATCTCTCAGGAAAATGTTACCTGGCTTTCTGGACCTCCCTTTGAAATCTAGATGGAAGCCTTCATCACCCTACAGCTCTTACATTCTTCATGCCTGAATAACTAATGTTACCCAGATGAAGTCAAGGTCCACCACCAGCTCAAGAGTTAGCCAAGTTCCTTAGACCATGGCTGCATTGTCCTCTGACTGCCTGCGTGGTTGAGCATAATGAAAAGAACCCCAGGGAGAAAATTCCCTACGTGGTCCTTCCCA